TCCCCCCCCCCCCCCCCTGGCTAGGCACTCCTGGGAGGTTTTCGGAAGAAAGAGACCAACCATAAGAAAGATATTAACTCGTAGATGACGAAAAGTGGCTTTTTTGCTGTTTGCGATGCTCCATTTCGCCATAAAAAATGAAATTAGCTGTCGTTCAATTAGGCTTAGAGAGCTTGTGGTGCTTGTGGTGCGTTTGCAAGGGATGTGTCACTAAATGTTCTCAACTGCAGCAATGGGTAGCAAGCTAACCATAGACAAGCATTGAGAGACAGACAGGCTGGACAGGACCAAAAGTGATCTCTATCGTTTCGAGGAGGCCTACTGATAAGTATTACAGGGCCTATTTAATTAGGCCTATTTGAATTTATTGGCAATTTCTTCTATAGGCCACAATAGGCACCGGAACCGAAACTGGCCAATGGTTATGAGGAAAAAATCGGCCATCGGCTCACCGGCCAAATGTTGCCACCGGTACAGCCTTACTCATAATCCCCCTTACTCCACCACTGTTATTCTCCTGCATGCCTGTTATACTCCCCCTGGCTACACCACTGCTCGAATGATGCCATGATTAACGGAGGATAACTTTTTGGCCTCTATCTTCATTTTCGTCCGGCTTCGTCATTCTAGCATCGAAGTACACAAGGGTAAAAATTAATATAAACACCCAGCACTTCGACTTCACCCCGAACTGTGACTTTTGTGGATCTCCGCCACCCACTCATCCCCAAAGAAAGTTGCGAACAGCCTCCACCTGGACATTGCCAGGCCACTGATTCCTAGTCGTAACGTTCCCGCTCTGCCCATCTCACGATAGAAATCGCATCAATAATGATGCCGCGGACATCCTTCGCATATATTTTTAATAAGAATTTATTTCATTCAGAGAGTTTGGAAACCTTTGATGCACTGGCGTATTTTGGCTTATGAGCCGAGGGGGACAAGGTAAAAAGAGAAAAGGGACTGGGAGGGTCGATAAGGGGGAGGTGCTGAGGAAAGATTCTCAGGGACAAAAAACTCCGTAGAGGGCGCACTTTCTAGGGCTGCTAAGGCGTACTTTACCTGTAAGAACGTCAGTGGCATACCCCCCTCCCCCTTTTACCCCCTTTAGCCCCCAAAATACGCCACTGGTTCGGTGCGAGTCGACAGGAGATGATCAATGGCGAGAATAAATTGACTGTCGTTGACTTTCCGAGTATATTGCCGACATTTCAGTTTTTAACAACTTCGTTAAATGGTATCATCTCATGACTTCCAAATGTCCCATAACCTATGAGATTTCACGGGAACGTCGGTGAGATGCATGCGACGGGCGATTCCAAAGTGGCATGAGCATTTAATCAAAGTTACTATGATTTTATATTGCAAGGGAACAATCCTAATTAGAATAAAATCGGTTTTCATTCCAGCTTCTCGATCGTACGACTGCTTTCCGCAGACGACAGTCCACACTATCATGACATGAACAATGGTATAAGAACTGGATTTTCAGCCGACCGAACGCACACATGCCCTACGATGTGTTGAATCAGCCTCTGTTTTCCAAACGCTCAACCAACTGTGGAATTAAGGGATCGTGTTCCTACCTGCTTTCCCATTTTCCCCAGGTTTCTGCTCAAGAAAAAACATTTTTGAAGAGATTTCTCCTTCCTCTTCCCTAGAATTGAGACATTATGAGTATCAGTGGCATGGAAATATCCCGGGTTTGTCGAAGGAGTCCAAGAATCATTGACGACGCCTCATCTCATCACACGGACACGTTCGGAGATTGTTGCAAAATGCGAGGCCAGTATTGTATTACCATTTCGATCCTTGTTTTGCGCTTCGATGCCACGAGCAATCCCGTGACACGATGCGCGCGGGCGTACAGGTACCGATTCTAAGGCCGACTTCGTACTCCTGCTGTACTGCATCGTACAGCACGTTCGATGCAGTACATTACAGTACAGCAGGAGTATGAACTCGGCCTAACGCCCCTTGCTGGATTCACACGCTTCAGATACCTCAATAGTCTTTGCATGGAGAGGACCATAGAGAAACAACATTCCACGCGGTCTCACGCGTTCCAATCCAACGATATTCCTGGGCCAACCGCAGCGATTGGAAGTAGGAAAGAAGCTGTCAGGCATTTTTCCCCCATCCACTTCCGCATTTCCAAACAGAAGAAATTTTTACATCTTCTTGTCATGAGTTTGCGCATGAATTTAAATAAGAATAGTACTTCAGCCCGTAGACAGAACTACAGCAGGCGGGGAAGCAGCGAGTACGTTTTTCGTTCTCGTTTAGAAATGTGTTCGAAAAGAGACACACTAGGACGCGTATTGTTGCTTTGAATCGTCCGCGTAGCAGGCAAGTGGAAGACGCATGTGCATTAAGAACCGGAAAAAAAGCAGGCGCGGCACTACGACGGTTCTGAGCAGGCGATAGCTCGTGCACGTGCGTACAGTACGTCTCTCTCCACCTAGCCTCTCTTCCTCTCTCTTTTCCTTTTCTCTTAGTCAACGAAAATTCGTAACTGTAAAACGATTGCATCGAGCTCGCGAGGTTTTCTGCTTCCTTCGAGGATGCGCGAACAAAACGAGTGCTCATCCGAATCATTTTGCCAAACGCACCGATTGGTTTTCCTGTCATTTAGCGCTCGTGTCGAAAGAATAATTTCTTTAATCGATTCTCATCCTCGGTCAAACGTGGTCACTCTTCTGGGTCTTCCGGGGTGGATTTCATAATTTGAAAATTTTCGTTCACCGGATTACTTGCCGAGTCGAAATTTCATATTAATGCGGTATTAATATGTACGATCCTCTTTATTTTACCCTCTGCCAATCGAGTCATCGTAAATGGAATGGAACAGAATGGAAAAGAAAGAGGCACATGGATGCAAAGGCCTGACAGCGAAGGAAAGGAAACCGCTTGTAAGGCTGCTTTTCTCATGTTTTGCTTTCTTTCAGTTCAATGGCTGGCTCTTTTCTCTCTCCTGACGTTCATCATCCCCATGTTGATCGAATACTTTGAGGGGTGGGGGTGATATAGGATCTTCACGCCTGAGAATCCCATCGGAAAAGAATCCAGGGGCACAGCTTCAAAAGCAGTAGGAATGTGTTTGCTGGGGCCCTTGCGTACTACTCTAATGATAAAAAAAAATCATATTTTAAATGCATTTGAAGTTTCACTCATATTCGAAACAGGATATAGAATAAACAACCTCTCTCCCTTCAAGTACGATCGAGTGAGACGAGACGGCTATCAAATGACTAAGTTGGAGTGTAATTGTTACCGAATGGCAGAATGAAGCCTGAACCGAAAAAAAAACACCAATGACGGCGTGCCTTGCAACCTTGCACAGAAAAAGTTTGGACAAGTTTGGATCACACGGTATGAAGGGGATCGACATGTTTCAATTCCCTGAAGTTTATTGCATTCAAAACTGGAGAGATTTCCATGATAGATTGTGGAATATGTTGAGAGAGAGCGTTTCGGCTTGGAAACTGAAGAGAAGGATGAAAGAGTGAAAGACCCAGCCTTTCGCTTTTCCAACCGCGATGCACGAGAGGAGACAACCGACATTGGGAACTCCCCAGTTGAGTTTCGGGGGAAATTCCTTCCCACAATTGTCTTTCTATCGTAAGGAATATAACGGTATTTCGACAGGAATTCATGCTTGTGGATCACGTCGGCTATCGGCTTTGCTATCGGCTGGAGAAAAAGACGCACCCCATATAACCTGAACTTTGACGTCGCTAGATGAATAGGCAAGTTATGGTTGTTTAACTCATTCCATGTCTGAAATGCAAGGGGTATTTTTCTTAGAGCATTTTCCTCCGCATCGTTTTTAGCAACATTCTGGATCGTGGCAATACATAAATATAGGCCTTCTTAGCAACAGACTTTGCTTGTGACTCCCATTGTCGAGGTGGTTCGGAAACTTCCCATTATCTAAGACTTATAGATCCTGCTGAATGCATGGAAGTGATCCCTGTCCTAATCTAGCTTAGGCAGATCGGGGTCGTAGGTATGAAAATTGTAGGAGCAAACTCTATGTAGGATCGAATTTCGTGAGTAAAAAGGTTAATATCGAACAGGTACTGAATCGAATGAATGTAGGACCGAAATGCCTAACACTGAAAAGACATGAGAGAAAACGTAGAAACGTAGAGCCGAACGAACGCACGACCGAAATATCTTTGTTTAGAAAGTTGAAGACTGCAGCATGGACAAGAATAGGAACGAAAAGAACGACGAGCAAGAAGTGTTTTCATCATACTTCTATTTGCCATTAATTACAGAAATTATGTCTTCCATTGCATTCTCCTCCCATTACAGAATCATGCGTCTCAAAGGAACTATCACTAAACTATTTGCAAATTACCCATATCAGCCAAATAATTAAATCTTCCCCCAGTAGTCAATTATTAATATATCAGCTAGTCGGTTGATGTATGTTCCGGATGCAAGAGTGTCGCCTCATATGATGAGTTTTTAATGGATTAAAAATGTATGCAGGGACGACATATACCTATCACCAGCCTCAGTGTCCAAGAGTCGAAACTGTACCATTTTCAGTTGCACCCTTGTAATTATGCTATTCTATTCTATTCTATTTCGTTCTTCATTCAATTTTACCTTAATATTCACAAATCTAAAGTAAGGTTGCTGACTGACCTGGAATTACGTCCACGTGTTCGCGTATGTCGAAGGCCTTTTCTGGAACGAGAAAATGAAATCCGAAGACTCTGGTCGGATACAGAGCAAGATGATACTAGTACCTCACTCGAGATTCCACGAAGAATCGCTCTTGGATTAATCCTCGAATGGCATCGAGATTCGGAATTCCTGCGATCCAAATGAGGAATGGGATGACGGGGGAGTGCATTGGACTGGCCATAGCAAAATGCCATAGCAAAAAACATTCTCTATGGGGACACGAATTCCGACTTCCGGCCATGCTTGGCCTTCATGTACAGGAGAAGGCAGAGGCGAAACACGTAAATGGGCAGAAGGCGAGGGAGAACAAGAAGGGAGAAAACTAAATGTGTTATTTTTAAAAGAAACCACGTGGAAGAATCATAGTTGTCCTCGCAAAGATCCATTTTCATATACGGGATCCTATATCCGTAATAAACATGAAAATGTGTACTTTCACTCGATGACGACACTGAAAGGCATCATGCCCTTGCTTTGTGTCATGGAATAATCTGAAGAAGGGCGGGAAAGCTCTTTTTTATAATAATAAAAAAATATACTGAATATTAATGCATACATGACTCGTGAAGTCTTTCTCCTTTCCATGAGCTAACTAAAACAGTGCTACTGATGATGAATTGGTGACTTAGCATTACCTTTCTCAAAAAGGAATCTAGATGAATATGAAGTGAAGCTGACAGCCAACTTTAATTTAAAGGGAAGCGCTTTCTTTGTCTGAAGATGTGATCTGCTCAAGGTGAAATCAGGGATGCCACCTCATTGTTTTGTCTCCTCCTGGAGTGCTGGATGAGATTCATATTCCAAGCTGCCTACGCCTTAAGGTGACTGAACATGTGACTCAGATTCCTACATCGAGGATGTGCAATCGACAATGCATTTTGTTGTAGCTTTCGGGAAGCGGCATTTGCCGTACGTATATTGCCTTTAGGATGACAGCTTCCAAAGCTGAGAATGAATGATTGGCATGGCCACTGAAACAACAGAAACGCTTCTAAAGGGTTTCAGTCAAAATGTTTTGTTTTTTTTTGTCACAAAGACAAATATGCAATTTGCGAATCTCGTCCTCATTAACCACTGTATAAAATAGTGCTGTCTTCGATTTATTTTGTTTTTACGTTTAGTCCGATAGTCTTTCATTCGCCTGCAATAGGCTCGAAAATTATTGCTATTGAAAGCGCTATTCCCAGGTTTTTGGAGGAGAGCAACTGGGTGGAGTGACCAGTCATACCATTCATGCGGTGAGTTAGTGATATGAATTTCAGATGGTTCAGTGATCAGCGCTCCGAAAATACCTTCATTACATAGTCCCTTCCATGTTCACTGTTCCTTCAAGCAAAACTACAGTGACCCTCCCGAGCCATTTAAAAAAAAAATCGAATTCCTTCGAATTGGACAGGGGGCAGAAAAAATATGTATTTCTCTCCTCTTTGTTTGACCTGTTTGGAACGTGTTAATCATGTCTGATTCTTCCATTTTTCTTAATGAAATATTTTAGAAGCAACTTGAGCGTTTTCTTTGATGTGACACATGAAATTCCAGAGTTTTCGGTGAAATAGAAATACCTTGGATCTCTCGCTGTGAAAGATCGACCGAAGGTTTAGACTGACGGAATTTGTATGCATATTTCCTCGTAGTCCCTACATTTAGAGTTCTTACAACGAATTATGAGAGTCGACCTGACCAGAAGACGCCGACTTCGATTCATCACGTGCACATATGAGGTATTATCATTTAGTGTCCTGGAAAATGGAAAATCTCAATAGACAAATTATTGTGTGTCCACCCACACTTGCACGAAAGAAAACTCGATTCATGCTGCTGTAGACGTATTCTTCACAATGAACGTGAAACACGACAAAGGAGAAATGGAAGAAATGTTTGAGACGTCGATGTAGAGAGTATTAGGCTTTGACGGGCTTTATCCAAAGGAGGAGGAGACCCAAGGCCCCAGTGATCACAAGCGATCCCAGATCTCGTTCTGGCTCCCTGGATAAGGATTGGACAAAAAGAAGCCGTCACCGTTCCATCTCTCAACCACAAACATGCAATTGAATGCTTGGGTAAAATACTAGAACGAGACTTCCATGGATGCCAAGAAGAAAATATAACTTCCTATTATAAATAAAAATTCAATAGAGGATTTTACATAGAAATCAGATAGGGAAAGACATTATGGGACTACATTTCCCAAAATTATCGAGACACGAATAGTAATTCAGGAGCTTTTCATTTGTGGACAACGTGAGCGGCCTCCTATAGGCATTCGCAATGTCATCGATATTTCTCTCTTATGAGTAATATGCTCAGAATGCACACATGCGAAATGGTCAATATGAGCAAAGTGACATGAACTCACTTGGTAACAGTCGATCCGTGAGGGAGAGGGTTGAAAGAGTCGACTGCCCTCGGGAGTAAGGCACCTGCAAACAGGTCCTTCACTCCCACCTACAGCGGAACATCCAACATTCCATACGGTTAACAATGACACTTTAATCATGTTCATGCATATAGAATCCCTTTACACAAACTATATAAAATTCCATTGATGCTTGCAGAATTCGGGGAATGAAAGTGGAACCCATGACAGGTAATAAATTTGCGCCCTTCAAAAGTTGCAGAAATGTTAAATATACTTGAGAGTGGCATATAGATTTTATGTTCAGTGGAAAATCTCTATTTTCTCTCAGGGCAAGTAGGATTAGCCAGAACCATAAGGCGACCAGATGTTATGATTTTGCTTATATATAACGACTCATAAACATATGAGCTCGTGTGATCAGGGTATGTGAGAGAGTTGCATGAGTCGCACACCAACTCGTAAGGTTCGCAACCTCTTGATTTTCTTATGATAACTCATCGGAAAGACGCCTGCTGATTGGTTGTCAAGGTCAGACAACATGGCGCGGCGCTTCACGTCCAGCCGTATGTCCATAATCCCGTTTACCCCTTTTGGTACGAATTATTTTACGCTCACTCATCAGTATTATTTTTTAGCCGTTCGAATTTAGATGGTTTTACCCTACAACAAACAGGATGTTCCATAAATATGATCAGAAAATACAAAGAAATGCATACTAGAAAACAAATGTTACTGGTTGAAACATCACAAAGTCATGAATCTTCTTATTCTGAGTTGATTGCCAACATTCTTGGAATAAATGTTCCTTCCACGAACAATGGGATTTGAGCAAAAACTTTGAAAAGCTTGTGGCGCCAATTAATCTTAAAATTTTTCATCCTGCAGGAAAGGATGGAGAAATCCCATATTTCTTCCCAATTCCAGAACAACAATAATAGACAACACAAAACGAGAAGATTGTGAAAAAGTATTTGGATAGAGGTCGGTCATCAGAAATGTGGAAGATCTGATCGTCCCAGTCTTAGCGCATTCAGAATGTCAAAATGAAACATGCAACCTGCATCAAGAGGTTCTGGGAAATTTCTGGACCGTAATCTCTTAATAAATTTAATCAAATTTTCCCATATGTTACAATCAACAAGGAAGGAAAAAGTGGTTTGTAATGTTTTAAGCTTTGTAATGTTTTACCTTAAAAGTAATGTTTAAAACCACATCAGTCCTCTAATTCCATTTCAAGGCGGTCATGAGCAGGGGTATCCCTTATCAGATAACATATAATACAGAAGTCGGAAAAGGACGAAAAACAAAGAAACCAGAAATAAAAAATATATGAGGAATCGAAGTTCATGGTGACTCACCTTGCCCTTGTCTCTGATGAGAGATGTGATCATCCGTCTATACTTTTCGCCTTCAAAACTCTCCTCGGGCAGATATACATCCTTTCCGTCAACATAAAATATCTGCTCCGCTTCCACCGTCATGAAATCTCGATTCAGAAAGTTTTCAGTTCTAATCTTCTCAGACAAGTCATTCTTATCTTCAGATTTAAAGCCTTTCAAAACATCAACTCTTTCCAGTTTCCTGCTATCATCACGAGATTCAACTCTTCCATCTTCTCTCCTTGTATCTACTCGTTCTACCCTCCTGTCAATTTTAGAATCAACTCTTGCACCTTGACGTCTTGCATCCACACGCTCCAACCTCCTGCTGTCAGATTTAGCTTCAACTCTTAGATCATGTCGTCTTGCATTCACTCTCTCCAGCCTCCTCATGTCATCTCCCGACTCAACTCTTTGATCTTGTCGTGTGGCATACACCCTTTCCAGTTTCCTGCTGCCATCTCTGGATTCAATACTTTCACCTTGTCGTCGGGCATCCACTCGCTCCAGCCTCTTGCTATCACCTCTAGATTCGACTCTTTGGTCTCGTCGTCGGGCATTCACTCGATCCAGCCTCCTGCTGTCATCTCTGGACTCAACTCTATGATCTAGTCGCCAGACATCTACTCGTTCTAGTCTCCTGCTGGCATCTCTGGAATTAATTCTTTCATCCTGTCGTCGGGCATCCACCCGTTCCAGTTTCCTGCTGTCATCTCTGGATTCAATTCTTTGATCTTGTCGTCGAGCATCCATTCGCTCCAGCCTACTGCTACCATCTCTCGATTCAATTCTTTGATCTTGTCGTCGGGCATCCACTCGCTCCAGCCTACTGCTACCATCTCTCGATTCGATTCTTTGATCTTGTCGTCGGGCATCCATTCGCTCCAGCCTCTTGCTATCATCTCTAGATTCAATTATTCGATCTTGTCGTCCGGCATCCACTCGCTCCAGCCTACTTCTGTTATCTCTGGATTCAATTATTTGATCTTGTCGTCGAACTTCCATTCGGTCCAGCCTTTTGCTACCATCTCTAGATTCAACTCTATGATCTTGTCTCCTTACATCTACTTGCTCCAGCCTCCTGCTCTCATCTCTCGATTCAACTCTTTCACTCTGTCGTCTGGCATCCACCCTTTCAAGTTTCCTGCTGTCATCTCTGGATTCAATTCTTTGATCTTGTCGTCGAGCATCCACTCGCTCCAGCCTTTTGCTACCATCTCTAGATTCAACTCTTTGATCTTGTCGTGTGGCATCCACCCTTTCCAGTTTCCTGCTGTCATCTCTGGATTCAATACTTTGATCTTGTCGTCCGGCATCTACTCGCTCCAGCCTCTTGCTGCCATATCTCGTTTCAATTCTTTGATTTTGTCGTCGGGCATCCACCCTTTCCAGTTTCCTGCTGTCATCTCTGGATTCAATACTTTGATCTTGTCGTCCGGCATCTACTCGCTCCAGCCTCTTGCTGCCATCTCTCGATTCAATTCTTTGATCTTGTCGTCGGGCATCCATCCTTTCCATTTTCCAACTGTCTTCTCTGGACTCAACTCTATGATCTTGTCTCCTTACATCTACTTGCTCTAGCCTCCTGCTGTCATCTCTCGATTCAACTCTTTGATCTTGTCGCCTTGCATCCACTCGCTCCAGCCTCCTGCTGTCATCTCTCGATTCAACTCTTTCACCCTGTTGTCTGGCATCCACTCGCTCCAGCCTCTTGCTATCATCTCTGGATTCAATTCTTTGATCTTGTCGCCTGGCATCCACTCGCTCCAGCCTCCTTCTGTCATCTCTCGATTCAACTCTTTCACCCAGTCGTCTGGTATCCACTCGCTCCAGCCTCCTGCTGTCATCTCTCGATTCAACTCTTTCACCCAGTCGTCTGGCATCCACTCGCTCCAGCCTCCTGCTGTCATCTCTGGATTCAATTCTTTGATCTTGTCGCCTTGCATCCACTCGCTCCAGCCTCCTGCTGTCATCTCTCGATTCAATTCTTTGATCTTGTGGCCTTGCATCCACTCGCTCCAGCCTCCTTCTGTCATCTCTCGATTCAACTCTTTGATCTTGTTGCCTTGCATCCACTCGCTCCAGCCTCCTGCTGTCATCTCTCGATTCAATTCTTTGATCTTGTGGCCTTGCATCCACTCGCTCCAGCCTCCTGCTGTCATCTCTGGATTCAATTCTTTGATCTTGTCGCCTGGCATCCACTCGCTCCTGCCTCCTGCTGTCATCTCTCGATTCAACTATTTGATCTTGTCGCCTCGCTTCCATTCGATCAATTTTTCTGAGATCTTTTTTTGAACCAACTTTCTGAAGCTTCTTTGTGCCGGACATATCGGTTTTCCTCACGTCACCCGCCGCAATATTTCGTTCCTCTTCGATTTTTTCGCTCATTTCAATGAATCTTTGTTTAATCAACAGTTTTTCTTCAGGATTTTCCGATTCTTCGTAGCGCCAGTTAATGGCGTTCGTTGACTTCCAATGTTTCCCTTGATCTTCCACATGACGATGATGAGATTGCGATGCTTCTTTCGCTGTCATTAAAGTAAGTAATGAAAATACGGATTTTTAATGTTGGTAGGATTGAATTCGAAGTGTTTTTTTGTCATGTACTTTACCTAAGACATAACCCTTTTTATTTCATGGTGTTCACGTTTTTGAACATAAAAAGATTTCATTTTATAGTCCCTATTTCACACCACTTTCTCCAGGACATGATTTCCACATTTGTGGACATCGTAACTATCAGAATAACATCAGAGGCGATGTACCCTGTCACACTCAAGTGTTTTTTCTAATTTGTTCTTTCTTGATGTCATCCTATTGTCTCCATTCCTAGGGGTATCTCTGATGATTTTGTTTAATATGCGAATTGCGTTTTTCGGAATATTTGGAAAAACATTGCAATGCACTTCTTAGGGTCGGTTGATGAGTGTTTTTAATAATGCATACCGCTAGCCCATCTAAAATTATGATTCAGTCAAAGTGTGAGAACTCCATTTAGCGGGACAAACAGCTGCTTCTCCCATTGGTGTATTTGTTCATCCATTGGCGTAAGGCTGTCCCGTCGATGCTTCTTGGGTTCCTGGAGTTGCATATGCCGTAGTACAGTGGTTTTCGCTCGAGTCAGACAATTTTTCCCTTGACTCAGACACACGTGCATAGGATGCATGAGTGTCGAATTCAAGTGAAAAACACTGTAAATGCAGAACAGTCTGCTCGGACAAGCAAAAGCACCGAAAATTCCTCATTATCGTAAGGCGTACGGAGTATAAGGATTGGAACGATTACTGATGTTCGGGACTTAGCCCTTGCAAATCTGTAATTTCAGTTCAAAAGAGGTTCACAAAAGAAGTCCTTACAGTGATCCGTATGCAAGAACTTATCATTTGATGGCCAATCACATGGTAACTGTCATGGTAGGTATCAGGTAATAGGTCTATAATTTGTTAGGTTCCGTATGTAAGAACAGTTTACAGGTATCCGCCGTGAGGCCTATTTTGATAGGTATAAAATACAAATCATAGGTATTCGTGACTTTTTCTGATGACAACCTCCTATCCATCGTCTTGCGCCCAGGAACAATGCCATTTGTATCTGCTCACATGATTGACCAAAGTGTTGCGTGATGATTTATTGATACTAATATGACCCCGTTTACCAGACTAGTGCTTGAATTCCGATTGCCGTGGCTTGATGCGGAAAACTCTATGGGATTTAATTCATCCCATAGTAACTGCGCTCGACACAAGTTGTGACGGTTCACATCATAATTGGTTTAGCAAAAGTCACTGTAATCCACCCTGGTCGCTAGTTATAAGCATAATAACAAAGCCCTGGATCATAACAAATTGAATTTATTTTTATTCATATCATGATACTCTATCATATAGGTATAAAATTTCTCTGCATATGGCCAACTCATCAAACTTATCATATGATACTCCCCAAAATGTTTATTTTGTCAGTTTTATACGTTATTGCATAGCAGCCAGTATATAGCCTAGCGCGATTACAACAGGGCGTGTCGTCCTCCCATAAATTTGGGCTTCTCATCACGGAGGGAACATCTTAGCTCCACCCTAGGAGTGGGGTTAATGCTTTGTTCCTTAGTTTAGCCTAACTCTCCTTTAGCCCGCCATTCATCAATTCCCGGATCGTCTAGTCCCAAGTTTAACCCTGTGCTATTCTGACCCGGAGTTAACCCTCCACTCATCAATCGACCCCTAGAGAACTAACTTGCACGTGGATCAATCAGGTGTTCCTAACGAGCTTGGGCCTTTTTGCTTCAAAAGTATTAAAAGCATATGTTTGCATTGGACGAATACTTTAGATATTTTGAGAATTCTGTATGCAAATTGTGTGATGTTTTATGCATTTGCAGTGTGATTGTGTTTTTCGTTGCCCAGAGAGAAGGGACTGCTGTGTCACAGAAAAGAGTCATGCCGCTATATGTGAAGTTCAATATTACTATTTCCCAAATGACATATATGTATTTAAACTTAATTTCTGACTGAAATTGTCAAATCAGCAGCAATAAATGCGAGCAGTTGTTTAGACAATGTTGATGCGTCACGCTATAAACATGATTTGAATTTTGCAAAATCTTTAATTTTGTTGGAAATACGCCTTTCGTTCATGTGAAGTTCTAATTTCAATCCTTCAATTTTTATTATATTTTCTTATTTGTTTTTTTTTCTTTTTACATTGCTCATCATATTTCTTTCATGGTTTTAAATTAGAATGAATAGTTGCAAGTGGAAGCTGTGCTGATTAACGAATACCTCTTTCCAATCGGCTACACGCTATGGTCTGCAGGCGTTTACATATTTCCTATTACTAGCTAGCCCATGCTATGATACGTAATTTCCGGTATCCCAAAGTTTGCTTACATCAGCTCAGTATTTACGGAAGTAAATCGTGATTCCCCCCCCCCCATTTTAATGCTGCATTCCCAAAATTGCCAACTAGAGTTTTCGAGCATGTAGCACATCTTTTATCATACAGTATATGCTCGTTTTCGAAGAACCCAATGAACTATCACATTCACTTTCCTCCATTGTCATTGAATTTTTGGCCTTTGAGTATTGCCGAGATTCACCTATTGTGAAGTCTACAGTATATCAAACTCTTCGCTCTAGCATAGATGAATCGCTTCCCTGTATGAGTACAGTCCTTAGCCTGGAGTTTTCTCCTCATCCTCACAGGAAAGTGAACTTCGCATGCCCACGCATGCGAAGTTTTGCTTTAAATGAGCACGCGCTCCGGCCATCGATTACGATCAATATCTGACCCTGGATAAAATCATGAAAGCGGTGCCATAAGCATGCAGCTGGCGTCGATTGGAAGAGAACCCAAACCCAAATGCTAAATTTGCCAAAAGTATCTCACTACTCTACTTAACATGAAATTTGAATAACGTCTAGAGGACTCGAGCATTTTAAAATTCAATAGGTAAGAATAGGTATACATTACCAGTTAAAGAGTGAAGTCACTTTGGTGTCTTAACATAGTGCGCGCAATTGAAGGAAATATTATTGGACTTCTTAGGTAGGTACAATTTAGCCGCATGCCATAGCTTGTACTCATAAAAACCCGGGAAAATGCTTGTTATGGGATTGAATTGTTGATACGGTAATGTGGCAGTCGTGCATGTCGATAGAAGACTTTCTACACAGATTAAAGGGACCTCAATAAAAGCAAAATAGAGACAGAACCACATGATTGCATCGACGTTTTCAAGGGAACTTTGTCCAAGGACAAGACGACATGGACATTATGCAGGAGTGGAACAAAACAATGAAAATCCGATTTCCGATAGAGTGGCTGAGCAGAATGCTCAGAAGCTAAAGTTCTTGGTCAGCAGGTAAGTGAGATAATTCAGGACGTGCCAAATATCACAAACGATGCTAGATGTGGACCTCGCACCTCTTGCCTTCTGAAAATCACCCACCCGATCTGGTGAAGGGTTGTAAGTAGGTGTTGAAAAGTGGCTCACCGATGAAGAAAGAGACATGAACAGGATCTTTGCAGACAGTCAATAAGGGAAGAGCGAAGAGCACAGCCCAACCAGGTCCCCTCATCTCTTCACCAGATAAATCTGCCAGTAGATATTGAAATTTAAGCCTGCATGTTGAAACCTCCTTTAGTTAACGGTACTTCAAGAATCCATGAGATCCTTTGGAAGAATATGAGCTCTTTAGCTTAAAGAACCCTTTATGTCGCCTTATTGAGATGTCATGATTCAGTCCTTAACCTTTTACTTCCAGTGAAGAGAATAGAAAGGATACGAGAAATATCACATTCTGTAGAGAGTCAGCTATTCTAAGGAATGGCTTCAGGAACTGCAGTTCATTACGTAAAGAAATCATAGAACTGGTATATTAATCGTCCAGCAGCGTCGAAGATCCTGCAATATCAAAGGCTCATAATTGCACATTTCTGGAAGACCCGAGGGAAAAAAGTACTCTTATTTATTTAGTAACATTATTCTATTTCCATCCTCTCCTAGAAGT